TGGTATTTCCGTTACAACAGTACTAGAGAGCCAAGACAATCCCACTTATCTGAAATAGGCAAATAGATAGAGATCAGAGCTTACTGGAGGTTGCCAGAGTGTGAGGGAGAGGGGAAGGATGTTTTTGTTCAGGGAACACTGAGAATGATTTGGAATGGATGGATACCGGCAATGCTTGCTTATGATCAACGTAATCCATGTCACTGAGTTGTATGTTTAAAAATTGCTGAGTTGTCAAATGTCTCGTGTATCTTTTCACCACCCACAAACACCACATCTGATGACAGCCATTCAGTGGGGTGATGCATTTACAGGACTGCCCTCCCTTGAATGGAGGATAATCTGTCTTGACTCAAGCATTCTGACTTCCTCAAAGAACCTGCAGGTAGAAATTGGTATCTGTCAGGGTCCCTGTCTGCTTATCTCTTGAATCGGCTTGGAGGAAACTCCCTTCATTTTTCCAAAGTTCTGATGACTAATTCTCTCCCCACCCTCCCACCCTCACACCTCCAGTCTGAAGATGACTCAGGTTCTTTTCTCGGTAGCCTTCTGAAAGAGGGTGAGTGGGAATGACAATTTTCAAAAATTCTTTTCTTCACTATAAATTCTTTTGATACTTCCCATCACTCAGGGTTCAAGAGCACGCTGTTTGAATGTCATTACCACCAGCTGTCCAGGGGCAGACTCTGACACATGTCAACCCTGTGGGTGTCAGAGTAGCACTGTGCTCCATACAGGCTTCAGTGGCTGAGTTTTTGCAAGTAGCTCACCAGGCCTTTCTTCTGAGGTGCTCTGGATGGACTTGAACCTTCACCCTCTCAGTTATCAGCATATTTGTTTATCTGGAGCCCCTGGGTGTGTGCACCACCCAGGGGCTCCAGATAAACAGAGCCTACGAAAAAAAACTGAACTAGAGAGGTTGTTACTGTTTCTCTAAGGAATTATCCCCACTGAGATATTAAACTGTGTCTTTATAAACTATGTTGCTGTTGTTATGTGCCATCAAATCAGTTCTGATTCATAGTGACCCTGTGTAGAGTTCCCAAGGAGCAGCTGGTAAATTTGAACCACCGACCTTGCAACGAAGTAAGAATCAAGCAAATGGACATGCTAGTAGGCCTTGAGGGACCCAATAAATACAATTTTATTAAATTAATACAGGTATAACCAATGACACCCAAATATAGACTTATATGCATTTCTGCTTTAATTGCACAAAACAGAAAAAAAAGATAAAGTGCCTTAGAAATCCAACACCTGAAGAGGTGTTAAGACTTTGGAACGGAATGAGTAAACTGTATGCCTAGCTGAATCGGAATCCTTGTTCATTACAAACAAGAAGTACTGTTTAAATGAAAAACTGCATTCGGATCATGGAAGAGCGCCACTGGAGTCTGTATCTTCAGCTTGCATATGGGCAAAGTGCTGGCAAGACACAAGACAGACCCCAGGCCTCCTGAGTGGCTGTCCGGATCTCAGGAGGCCTGGGTAGTGACGAGACCTGGCAGGACCCAAGGGTTCAGGTTGCTGATGGGCCTTTTCTGGCACAGGTGAGGGGCTAGTGCAGACAGCTGTTAAGGTGCGCAGCTGGAGTTGCCAAAAGAACTTACAATTTCGCAAGCACAGCATCCACATCAAGTTTATACTCATTCACTCAGGGAGAAAACATTTCTCATCATGATTTCATCATAAATCCAAAACACCAGTTGCTGTCACGCCAACCTTATCTCATGGCAAGTCCATGTTGTGTCAGAATAGAATTGTGCTCCCCAGGATTTCCACTAGTGGATTTTCTGAAAGTGGATTGCTGGGTCTTCCTGCCCAAGTGCCTCTGGATGGACTCAAACTTCTGACCTGTTAGTTAGTAGCTGAATGTGTTAACTGTTTACACCACCTAGGGGCTCCATTTCTGTCATACAATGTTAATAAGATCACTCCTAAGGCCTAGACCCCTACTAAGGAGTCCTGGTATGGTGCTGTACGATAAGCACTGGACTGCTAATAGTAAGGTTGACAGTTCAAACCCACCAGCATCTCCTTGGAAACCCTATACAGGGTCATCAGATTCAACGATGAAACAAATAAATAGGAATAAATTTGCTGATAAATGAGGGTGCTTCAAAAAATTCATAGAAAAATTTCATTGTCTTTTAATTCCGTTTTTCATGAACTTTTTGAAGCCTCCTCATAAAAAGAACTCTTAAGAGTTACTTCCCACAGTCCTTTTAAATACTGCTTTCCTTGTGACTGATGATTATTTTGGTTATTAAAGTGCTTCGATCTATTTATCGTGCAGGTGCACACAGGCTGCCACCCAGAGGGTCCCCTTCTCTGTCCCCCCCTCATGCCACCATCTTCCCTGCACCTCATGCTAAGATGTGGCACCCATTCACCTGTCTCCACGCTGGACAAGGAGCTCCTGAGGGCAGGTACTTTGTCCTCTCAGTGCTGTGGCCTCAACAGCTGGCAGCCTGGCTGCCAGCTAAGAGTACTTGGTAAATGGCTGTCTAAGAAACGAATTGCTCAAAACGACATCTGCAGATGGAATTCTACAAGAACAGAGCAGGGCAGCATGAGTCTGAGGCCTGCTAGCCACTGGCTTGGGAGTGTGACTGATCTCTCAGTGTCCTCAGCGAGAGAATGGGGATAATCACAGTGCTAATCACAGGAAAGTTGCCCAGGTGACTAAGTGAGATTAGACATGCTGAATCCTACGGTTAGGAAAGCTGACATCTATATGGGACAGACGCTGTGATGGACCCTTGAACGAGAAGACTGAAATGATGCCCGCCAATGAAGCCTCACTAAGGAAAATAAGAGTTTGTTCCCTGGGTTTTCCATTCATACCAACTGTTCACATCTGTTGCCAGAGGTCTCCACAAGGGATCATTCTCCACCACAGTCACATGACAGGAAGACACCCCCCCCCACACACACACACACACAAGCTCAAAATCATGAGCAGCCACACCAACACTGCTGGTGAACAGAAGGTGGATCCAGGCATTACATGGAGACAATGGGCAGTCAGTCTGTCAGCAGGAACCAAACACACTCCCGGCATGGGTGAAGGATGGAGGCTCATCACTCAGGTGTCCTTTCTCCCGGTCTTTTCCTTCCAGGTGATCCTCTCTCTCCTTCCTTTCTCTTCTCCGCCTCCTTCCTTGCAGGTTTCATTTGCACGACCTTCCGAGTCCTATGCTGTCTGCAGCCCACTGCTCCCGCGGATGCCAAGAGTCCTACTTTCGAGTCCTACTTTCAGATGAGAGGGTTCCAGGCTGGGTTACGTCTCCTCAAATTCTTTGTCTGCAGAGTGATCAAAAATGTCTTTGTTTCAGAGGAGGGCAATCTGGGGCAAAAATAACAACTTTTATTATGAATTATTTTCTTTTTTTATCTAAAGAGAAGTGTAATTCACATTTTCCAGATAATATAATCAATTTGCAGCAAGAGAAAGAAGCAGATTATATTGATACCAATTACTTTTATGTGACATAGGGTGACTAACTAACTGTCCTGCTATATTGGAGACTCTCTGGGTTTTAAAACTCAAAACCCTGGGTCTTAGGAAACCTCCAGTCCTGGGCAGATGGGGTGGTTGGTCGCCATCTCTGACAAAGGATGAACCAGGCAGCACTGCTAATTAGCATTACTATGCAAGTGAGGAGCTCTGGTAGCATAGTTACTAAGAGTTGGGCTGCTAACCTCAAGGTCGGCAGTTCGAAACTCCTAGCTGTTCTGTGGGAGAAAGATGAGGCATTCTGCTCCCGTAAAGATTTACAGCCTCGGAAACCATGTGCAGGGTGGCTCTGAGTCAGAACTGACTCCATGGTACACCCCCACCCCCACCATGCTCTGAACCACTCAGGAAACCTGCCTGAGCTTGTCCTGGTGAACTGGATGATGAACTGATGAACTCATGCTCGGGCATTCCATTTTTTCAGACTTTGATATAACTTTCCTCTTGATTCACTCAGCTAGCTGAGATGTTTGCTTGTGGCAACAAGCTCAGAGTGCCTGGGCTCTCAGAAAGGCTACACAGTCAGCCTAAAGGTCTCACCAAGTCCAGCTTGCAGCCTTTGCCAGTTTTCATGATCATGTGACTCTGCTTTCTCGACTATAAAATCGGAGTGATCATAGTATTTATCTCTTGAATTTTCTCTTGGGGGGGTGGATTAAGTGAAATAACGCAGTGAGGCAGTTACCACAGTACTTGGTATGTAACACTTAGTTTTCATTCATTCTCCATAAGTGAACTGGGTCAGGTGACAGGAAGTAATTGGCATGCAGAGCAATGCAAGTGCCTCCCCACCTCCTCCCAGGCTTCCCCCCACCCAACCCAACCCCACCCCACCAGCTAACTACACAACTGCTCTGCTCATTTCAATGGCTTTTCCTATAGTGACTCATGTTAGGGTCCGATGACTGGACTTTTGCAGGTCTAGCAAGACCCACTTGAGGTTGGCACGAACAGCACATATAGCAAGTAGCAGCAACTAGCACTCAAGGTTTACTAAGCTCTGAAAGTGCACTTCTCAGAAGAGGAGAAGTGGGCGTCTCTCATGTGAGTGGGAGAGCGCGCTGGCTTTCCGTTCTTTCGCCTTCTTTATAGGGTTATTGGCTTATCGCCCTCATGCTTCATTCTGATTGGTGGCAGGGTCTAGGTGGCACATTTTCTTCATCTGGCATACATTCTTCATTTTGGCGGTCTAGCATGGCTTTGTGTCTCAGAAGGTGTGCTTGGTTCACTTTCCTGGAACTATGGATTCACGTGCCAGGTGTCGGGGTGTGGTGAGGCTGGCCTGTGAGTTTCCTACTCTGTCCCTAACATCTCAGACTGTGGGAGCGCGTCTTCCATTAGAGCTGTGAGGGAGGCAAAAGGAACCTCATTTTCCAGATGCCTTCCTCACTAGGATGGGAGGTGGCGGCTGAGAGATTTCTCCTTATTTATGGCTTTCACTTTGTTCCTTCAACTTCCCGATCCCTTCTGATATGCTCACCATTGGGCTCCTTCAGGTGCACATCTTGGATGCCATCTTTTTCCACATCCAGCATTCTCACTTGAGAGAAAGACATCATTTTAATTTCTATGTAGCACAACTCAACACCTTACAGAGAGACCTCAGTTGACATTCCAGATTCCAGTGAGACAGCCCCTTGGAAGTCTGGTGGACTTCCTTACAATTCTATGGGTCCCAGTTCTCAAGGGGATTTCCACAGTGTGAGGCACATGATTGTGTGCCTCAAGTCTTTTTTGGCGTTCAGCAAGTCCCCAGTGTGTTCAAGGTACAGCAAAGGACACTACAGAAAGTCCGTTTGTACACCTATTGATTAATAATACGTATGACATATGAGGGGCTTCCAAAAGTTCATAGGGAAAAATGGAGGAATTAAAAGGTAATGGAATTTCCCTCCCCCCTAGTTTTTTGAAGCCCCCTCATACAACATTGCTGGATATAGTTTGCTGTTGTCATTGTAAGTTTAAATGTGATGTTTGCAACCCCCAGAGACTAATAAAGATCAGGTTTATAAAGATGGTAATAATAAGGCAATAATAATGAAAATTTTAAATAATAAAAAAAAAGTATTTCGCTTAACACTGTTGTTGTTAAGTGCCGTTGAGTTGGTCCCAACTCATAGCAACCCTGTATAGGGTTTCCAAGGAGTGGCTGGTGGGTTTGAACCACCCACCTTGCCATTAGCAATCCAGTGCTTATCCTATAGCACCACACCACTGAACGTTAGAACCGACTTAAGGACCAAGTTGTCGGGACAGAACCCTGTCCTAAGTCTTTTATATCCTTCTATATGCTTGTATATAAGGAGCTCTGGTAGTGTAGTGGTTACGAATCGGGCTGCAAACCACAAGGTCAGCAGTTCGAAACTACCAGCTGTTCCGCAGGAGAAAGATGAGGCTTTCTGCTCCCATAAAGATTTACAGCCTCAAAAACCCTGTACAGGGTCACCAAATGCCTGTATATATTTTTATTTTTCATCCTTCCTTAAGAAATGAACCATATTCTGAGGTATCTTGTTATCCATTGGTTTTCTAGGCATCCTTAATGCCGATTAATCAGTGCTCATAGAAAAATATTAAAATGCAAGTTGGAACAATGATTTCCTTTGACAAGTCAACTCCACCTCAGGACTTATTGCCACTGACCCGAGATCCTTAACTTCTGGTGAAACACTCCAGGTCTGTTCAGAACCAACTAAGTTACTCTACTACTGTTCCCAAATCTACCCCGTCTCTGGGAACTGTGGGGAATTTCTCAACAACAACTGGAATTTCCATCCATTTCCTACTTCCCTATATGACGTCAGCTGTTTCTAAGTAGATCCATTAATAAGCTTCTCAAAGTATAGGGAAACGTTCCTTCTCTTACAATGAGAAGAAATGATTTGAATATACTCATTTTCCTGGATTTCAGTTGTTCCCCAACGTAAGCTGAGAGATAAACATATGCAAACTATCTTCAAAAACACACAGCACCCGCCATCAGAAGTCTTGTAAATATTCTGAGGTAAAAATATCAGAGCACGGCACAAGGTTCTATTTCTTCTATTTTACTTCAAGTGTCCAGAAACCAGCCCAGTCTAAAGGTGCAACTAACGCATGACCCAAAGTGAAATGCAGCTCACAGGCTTTCATTTCGGGCCCTTTCCCTTCTGTAGGTCTCTGGTTATTTGCTGATGAAGAGGAATGAGGATAGTGGCTTGGCTTCCCTTCCACACACCCCAATCTCTTCCTCTCAGCCCCGTGATCCTGCTCCTCTCTATTCTGACAGCTCTTGGACAATGAGGTGCCTTTGTGTTCCTTTGCAAAGGGAAGTCAGGGACCCCTCCTGGAGGTGCTCACTGCCCACCGTCCCGTGCAGGTGACGCTGCAGAACAGCGGAATCAACAGACCTGGAGGAAGAGGTGCACACAGTAGGGACACTAGAATCCACTTGGCATGTGTGGAAGTTGGCTCTGGAAAGGAAGGCTCACGGGGGCTTCTGTTGTTGGGTGTCGCTTGTTTCTAGCTCATAGTGACCCTATCAGACTGAGCAGATCTGCCCCATTGGGGTTTCCTACTGAAATTGGTACAGGCAAAAGTCACCAGGCCTTTTCTTCCTTGGAGTGGCTAGTAAGTTCCAACTGCTAACCTCTCCCTCCATTAGTAGCCAAGCACTGAACGGTTGTGCCACCAGGGCTATAAAGCCATGTTTCCCAAGGGCATGTTGGGTAGGGCAGCTCACTGAAGGATATTTGGCTGTGGTAACAAGACCCCCATTCAGGCTCCCCCCAACCCCGTGAGATCACTGCCGTAAAGGAAATACCGTTTCTTCTTCTTAGATGGAAGGTGAGCATCAGTACAACAATGAAGGAAACCAGGAGGGCTCCCAGAACCATCAGGTGAGTCCTCTTATTTGGTGGAGGCATGCTCTGGTGTTCTGCAAATGAAAACAGAAACTAAAGATCCAGTGTTGATGGGAAACAGAGCAGTCATCCTCCTTGAAATCTAACTTAGCTGTTTGTCACTGTTGGTATTGTTGTTGTTGTTAAGTGCTGTTGACTTGGTTCCAACTCATAGTGACCCTGTGTAGGGTTTCCAAGGCTTTTAAAGCCTCATCTTTCTCCCATGGACCAACTGGTGAGCTTGATCCCCTGACCTGTGGTTGGTTCGTAGCCCAGTGCTTATCTAACAAAGCTACCACACTCTCAAATTGAATTTAATTTAGTTTGTTGTTGTTGTTAAGTTGGTAGAGTTGGTTCTGACTCTTAGCAACCCTGTATAGGGTTTCCGAGGAGCATCTGGTGGGTTTGAACTACCAACCTTGTGGTTTGTAATCCAGTGCTGAACCTATGGCACCACACCAGAACCTCCAGAGTCTAAATTTAGCTTCTTGTTGTTGTTAAGTGCTGTCAAGTTGATTCCGACCCCTAGCGACCCTGCATAGGATTTCTGAGGCTGTCAATCTTTACGGGAGCAGAAAGCCTCATTGTTCTCCCATGGAACTACTGGTACTTTCGAACTGCTGACCTTGAGATTAGCAGCCCGATTAGTAAGCACTACGCTACCAGAGCTAATTTAGCTTTAGCTTGAGGTTAATTTCCTTATACACTCAAAGTTCCTGGCCAGTGAGAGTTGTCATGGCAAGGTAGCTCACCTAAGACAGCAGTGAGTGCAGGTGGAAGAAGCGCAGACTTTAGATGGATGGGCGATGGACAGACGGACAGGGAAGGGCCTTTGCACTAGCTTTGACTGTTGGACAAATCCCATAACCATTCCCAGCGTTCAAATAGAAATGTAATAACATTTACCAAGTGGGGAATACTTGTAAAGTTCTTAGAAAGGACCACAGGGAGGTCAAAACAAACGCAGCCTTGACTATTTCACTTCCTTTTGTGTTCTTGAATACAGAGCTAGCTGTGGACGGTCCACAGTGGGACAGGGAGGCCACTGGGCCCTGCCTACCGCCTCCGTCCTCCCACATCCTGGTAATACTTTGGACTACTGCTTGCTATACTTTCTCCCTTTGAAGTTGGGATGTCGTTGGCACCTCTCACCAGTCTCTGTGTTTGTGACTCACGAAGACTCATAGGTGGCTAACTCCCACTTCTCAGGGTCAGTCAGCTCCTACGGCACCTAGGCCCACGCCCAGCCCACCTAAGTGAAGTTTAAAGCCACGGTCAAGGTTTACCTTTAAGTGGCAGCTTACAGTCTGCAGAGCCTGCTCTTATGTAACTCATTCCGGTCTCAGAATGGCCTTATGAGTTAGTATGCGGACAGTGATGGCTCAGTGGTGGCATTCTTCCAATAAACACTGAACTGCTAACTATAAGGGCAGCACTTCAAATCTACCAGCTGCTCCAAGGGAGAAAGATGAGAGTTTCTGCTCCTGTAAAAATTTACAGCCTCAGAAATCCTATACAAGGTCAAGTCTTGAGGTGGCATTCACTGAAGGGTAAGCACTGGACTGCTAACTGACAGGCCAGTGGTTCAAGTCCACCCAGCAGCCATTCCTTGGAAACCCTAATCAGGGTCACTATGGGTGGGAACAGACTTGATGGCACTTAACCAAAACAACATGAGTTGGAATAGACTTGGAGGCAGTGGATAATGTGGGAGCTGAGTTTGATTTCCGACGCTGTATGGCATGCCCAGCCACTATTCATCCATCAGCAGAGACCGGTGTGCTGCCAACATGCTGAATAGGTTTCAGCAAAACCTCCCGACTATGGTGTCCCACCTGTAGAGGGCATGGGGTGGCAAAGGAGCCGGCAGTGCCTCGTTCCACTGTGCGTGGGGTCCTCATGAGTTGGACCACTCAGAGACAGCTAACAGCAACAACAAACTGTCTACTAAAATTATCCCAGTTCACAGAGGAAGACACAGACTCAGAACAGCTAAGGGAGTTACCCTAGGTCATCTTTCAAGTCAGTTGCTGTAAAACAGCTTCTAACAGCAAAAATAAAACCAATCCAAGCAAACCCAAAACCAGTTGCTATGGAGTTGGTTCTGGCTTGTGGTGACCCCACGCGTGTTGTAGTATAGCTATGCTCCATCGGGCTTTCTAAGACTGGTTTTTCAGAAGTAGATTGACAGGTCTTTTTTTCGGAGGTGCCTCGGGGTAGATTCCAACCACAATATTTGAGTTAGCAGCTGAGCATGTTAACCCCTGGCACCACCAAGGGACTCCTTGTAAGCAGCAGGGACAAGGGTCAGTCTGGATCTTCAGGACTCACAGCCCAGTAAAGGCATCTCTGACAGGGTTCCACTGTACATAGGCTCTAGTTTTGGCAGGTCTTACTCTAAGGAGCTCTGGTAGCGTAGTGGTTATGAATCAGGCTGCGAACCACAAAGTCAGCAGTTCGAAACTACCAGCTGTTCCATGGGAAAAAGATGAGGCTTTCTGCTCCAGTAAAGATTTACAGCCTCAGAAACCCTGTACAGGGCCGATATGAGTCGGAACCGACTCCACGGCACATAACAACAACAACTCAATGATGGAAGGAGCTCTGGTAGCGTAGTGGTTACGAGTCGGGCTGCTAACCTGAAGGTCATCAGTTCGAAACTACCAGCGGTTCCATAGGTAAAAATTTACAGCCTCGGAAAGCCTACACGGTCGCTATGAGTTAGAACTGACGTCACGGCACATAACCACCACCACCACCACCACTCAGTGACTATTCAATCCTGTTGTAAAGTCAATCCCTACTCATAGCAAACCTATAGGACAGAGTAGAGCTGCCCCATAGAGTGTCTAAAACGATCAACTTTACCGAAGTAGACTGTCTCATTTTTCTCCACAGAGCAACTGGAGGGTTTGAATTGCCAGCTTTTTGGTTAGCAGCCAAGTGCTTAATCACTGTGTCACCAGGATCCCATCAATTAGTAGTTGCTGAATGGTTATTATTATAGCGATAGGATTTGGATGAAGGGTGGTAAGGAAGCTGGATGCATTTTGTAAACACGGTGTTATTTTAGCAAACACTGACTATCCACAATGAGCCGGCTTCATGCTAGGTGTTAGGGTACAGTGCTAGGTGCATTTTAACTGAGACAACATTCAGAATGTTACCTGGGATGACCAATTCAGCTGTACTGTTCTCCCCAGGACCTGGCCTCTGAAAAGTGCAGCGAAAGACCTCATTGGCTGTCGTGTTGATTCTTAGCGTGCTGGTCACATTGAAAAGCTCCTCCTCCCTCTTGGTGATGGTGGTCTGGCCTCTCAGGACTTGGTGGTCACTGCTGGTCCAGATGACCTCAGCCTCAGGGTAACCCTCAGCCTGACATGTCAGCTCATGTTCCCAGGTGACTGGATCCACAGAAATTCTTTGGTTGATTTTGCGGTATGGTGCTAGGTATGAGCAAAGAAGACTATGCATCAGACTAGCTCTTACAGCAATAAGCTTGAAGGCCAGGGGTCTCAGCAGCGGGGAACCCTGTCAACCCCATCTCAACCCTTCTATCCAAACTTGGGTCAAGCTTTGGCTTCAAGGGACAGCCATCTTGCTACCCAAACCATACATTTTTACTGAACTCCAACTAAATGTATGTTGTTGTTGTTGTTGTTAGGTGCCATCGAGTTGATAGATTAACTTAAAAAAAATTGTCGATGATGGATGGAGGGGATTGTAACCATAGCAATGAAACGATATACGATAGGATGAATGTAAAACTAATGTTCTCCCATGTAAACTATAATTCACAATAAAACATATTTTAAAAACTGTCATCTTCAAGCCAGTAGTCATTCTATCAAATATTAAACATGTTTCTTCATAGTCAGGACTCCAAGTGTGGCATTGTAGGTTAAGCACTAGACTGCTAAATGTTAACGTTGGCAGTGCAAACCTACCAACCGCTTCTCGCTTCTTGAATACCCTATACAGGGTCGCTATGAGTCAGAACTGATTCCACAGCACTCAACAACAACATACAGTCAAGCCTTTGTGTATTTCTTAGTTATGTTTTATAGTTTTTAAAAAGAGCCTTTGCAATCAAAGTCATACTACTTGGATTTAGAAGCTGGCTTTGTCACAAAGAGATGGACCAGCACAGTGGTGCTCAAACGTAGCAACTGTGAGGATGACGCAGGATTGGGCAGGGTTTTGCCGTGTTGTACATAAGGTTCACTATGAGTTGTAACTGACTCGTGGGCACTCAACAACAGCTGGATGAATTGGACAGATTTCTTAATGTCTCTGGGCCTCAGTTTCCACATCTATAAAATGGGAAGAAGGAACACATTTCATAAATCTAAAATGCCAGCTATGGAAGACATATTCAGATATCAAAGACGGTAAATGTGAAATAAACATCCTAGCTCTGGTAGCGTAGTGGTTATGAATCGGGCTGCTAACTTCAAGGTCAGCAGTTCGAAACTACCAGCCATTCCATGGGAGAAAGATGAGGCTTTCTTTTCCCGCAAAGATTTACAGCCTCGGAAACCCTCTGCAGGGTCATGATGAGTCAGAACTGACTCCACGGTACTTAACAGCAACAAGAAATGAGGAGGTAATACTTCAGAGTGTCCTTTTAGGAATTCAATGAATTGATAGAGGTAAATGCTTAGGACAGGGCCTGGAAGTACTAAAGGGTACACAAGTGCTGATTACTAACTGCTGCTGCCCCTCTTGGACGGAATGCCCCCTACAGCTCCTTTTTTTCCTCTTCCTGCTGCTCCCTCTCCAGTGTGCTCATGTGGGACTCTGAGACGGTGCTGATGGCTCCTTAAGAATAGTCCCAAAAAGGACTTCCCATCCGGACCCCACAACCTCCCAGGAGTCCTGGTGTTGTGCTGAAGGAGAAGTAATGGACTAGCACTCCTCAGAAACCCTAGACAAGGTCGTTGTAAGCAGAAGCTGACTAGCTGGCACTTCACAACAACAACATTATAACACCATAGCCAAACCTGTTCAAGTTTCAAAAACTGTAGGCTAATCCTATTTGGGAGTTCTGTGGGGTGCTGTAAGACAAGCACTCAACCACAAGGTTGGTTTGAACCACAAGTTCGGCGGTTCGAACTCACCAGCTGCTCCTCAGAAATGCTGTACAGGGTCGCTACGATTCAGAACCGACTCGATGGCACTTAACAACAACAACAATAATCCTCTTCGGGGAAAAACTGAATTCACTTAAGAAATACTACAACAACAACTGTCTGCCAGACCCTGGGTATATAGCAACACTCAAAACCGAGTCAAACCCTTCACGGTGCCATTTGTATTCTAGCGAGAAGAGACAGCAGAGCCCTGGTAATGCAGTGGTCAAAGCACCCAGCTGCTAACCCCAAAGTCGGGGTTCAAATCCACCAGTCACCAAGGGAGAAAGCTATGGCAGCTTGCTTCTCTACAGACTTACAGTCTTGGCAATCCTATGGAGCAGCTGTACACTGTCCTATGGAGTCGTTATGAATCAACTCAATGGCAGCAGATTTTAGGGAGAGACAGACAACCAACAGAACAGGTAACTGCAGTCATGTGACACATCATGTGGTATAGTAGAGGTTAATCAATACTATGAAGTTAAATAGAGCTATATAAGGAATTTGGAGGAGAGACGAGGGCTTTGGTATGATAGTACTTAATCTTTGGTCCGTGGGAGCAAGCCAGTTTTATCAGAACAATCTCCAATACTTGGTTCTTTCAGTTGTCTAATTGCATTCATGGTCCTGAAAAGTAGAAATGGGAGCTTCATTTTGTCTTGCTATTTGGCTCAGTGATCAAGAAAAACAACATTCCCAACAAGAAGTCAGCTCTCTGAGTGTCTCTAACACTCAAGGACACTGAATAATACCAGAAACACTGCACAGCTGAGTTCAATACAAATGACATGTTTTCAGTTTTGAAATGTTTCACTTTTGAAAGCCCATGGAGAGTCAGTTCCTATGGGAAAGGTTGGGCTATGACACATATGCAGTGACGGGCAGAGTCCCCGTGAATGGTACTGTGAAATCATTTACATCTGAAGGGCATCTACTTCCTTGAGAGGTAAGGTAACACGCTAGTCTTTGGCCACCCAGGCTTCCACTGCACTGAGCCAGTGTCCCCTGGGACCCTGGACAGCTCTCCAGGTGAAAGGTCCAGACTGTAGCTTTTAACCCAACCCCCAAGACCACTGTGTACCAAGGACAGCAAGCAGGACCAGTACCAGAAGCCGCCTTGATCATCTGCATTACAAATGGAATCAGATCCTAAAACATGGTTGGTCATCTATCTGCTTTGTCCTCCAGGGGCCCCTTAGAATAATCACAGAGCCAGACTAGATCCACAGGCAAGAGTCCCAGTGGCGCAGTGGTTAAGGGCTCAGCTGCTAACTGGAAAGGCTGCAGCCTGAACCCATAAGCCTCTCTGCTCTTCGGGAGAAAAGACTAGGTGTTCTGGTCCTATAAAGGTTACAGCCTAGGACTCTTCTGAGGCCGTTCAACTTTGTCTTCCAGGGTCGCTATGAGTTGTGATCAATTCAAGGGATTCTGACAACAGTAACAACAATGACCTGATGGAGTCCCTGTGTTAACACACATGACTGCTAACTGTAAGGCTGAAGGTTTCAGTTCACCCAGAGGTGCCTCAGAAGAAAAGACTGGCGATCTCTTTCTGAAAGATGAGTCCCTGAAAACCCTGTTTCTCTGATACATCAGGGGCCAGATGGGAGAGCCTCCTCTCTGGACTGTGAAACTCACACTTGGCTGCCTTCTGCTGACTCCCGGGCGTACGCTCTTCATCCCCTCTCCAGCTTCAGCAGTGCTGAGCAGTGAAACGTCACTTTATAGTGCTAAACCCTGATCATTTCTTTAATACCTTGGAATACAGTCAGAGTTTGGTTTTTGTTGATTCACTGAAGGAGAAGTTGAAAATATAAACCGCCTCCCATCCCAAGCTTTGTTTTATAGAAGTCACTGTTGAGGAGAAGACTATCATAAAAGCAATGGAAAAGAAAGCTACTCCGTAGAACCAGTGACACACTGCTGACAACAGTAGCACTCACTGAGCCGGACTCAGAGCACGTCCATAACCCCTATTTTATTTTGCTTATCCCTCTATTGTAAATGTAAGCCCCTTCTGCTTATCGTACTGACCTTCAGATTGATGAGAGTTAGCTTAGGAAAAGGAAAACCAAAGGGAAATGATTTAATGGTGGCTGGGTACTTAATGGTCTTCCTGCACACCACAGAGGCAGGCAGAGAATTCCAAAGTGAGGGCCAGTGAAGGGAGAGTCCAGCTCACTATCAGGCAGTTATTTCACTTGGTTGTGGGAGGGATGTCCCAATGATGAGGAGAAAGGTCTGTGAGCAGATCTTTTGTAGCCATTGCATAGGGGCTTTCTGTGCTTTGTGTAAAGTTGAGTTGGACACTGATGCCTGGGTCCCTTCCAATTCTAGGAATCTTATAAGTGAAAACTCAGCCCATCAGCTACGGTGTTTTCCTTCCCCTTGCTCGTGGTAACCCAACACAATGAACTGGAGTAACCTGATGGCATATTGGTAGTTTAGTTCCCGCTTCCTCTCCAACATCCAAGATGATGGTGGTGTAGGTGACCACATGCCAAGTGGGCAAAGCTTATACCATCTCAGTAAGATTATCTTAGCTTTTGTAGATTGACTTCTAAGTGTGTTTGAATGTGAACTTCCCCATGGGGGTTAAATGTATTAGTTTGGTTTTGACATAAAGAGGTTCAAATGAACAAAAGTATTGGCAGACTTACTAAGGAGGTTGACTATAAAGAATTCTAGAAGGACACATGAATGGTGCTTATTAATTGGAGTGCTCTGGAAGACAGAGGTGAAGGGAGGAAGGATCCTTGCATTCCACTGATTCCCTCCAATGATGTGTGAAAGGAGCCCTGGTGGAGCAGTGGTTAAAGCACCCAACTGCTAACAGATAGGTCGGTGGTTTGAACCCACCAGTTGCTCTGGGGAAGAAAAGACCTTGTGATCTGCTTTCGTAAAGATTACCGTCTTTCAAAAGATTGCACCAAATGTTTTGGCAATAGTGTGTCAGACAAGTGACTAATCTCTAAAATGTCAAGAAAATCCCCAACCTCAATAACAAAATGACAAATCATCCAATTAAAACTGGGCAGAGGATATGAACAGACACTTTACCAAAGATATTCAGGCAGCCAACAAACAAGAAATGCTCCCATCATTAACCACTGGGAGAGATGCAAATCAAAACAACAAGGAGCTATCATCTCACCCCAGCATTAATAGCAAAATTGTAAAAAAAAAAAAAAACAGAAACCAACAAATGCTGGTAGAGGTGTGGAGAGCCTGGGACCCTCATACACTGCTGGTGGGACTGTAAAATGGTACACCCACTGTGGGGAACCGTATAGTGCTTTTCCTTTGTTGGTGTTGGTGTTGGTGTGGGTAAGTGCCATGAAGTTTGTTCCGACTCATAGAGACCTGGTATAGGGTTTCCTAGGAGAAGCTAGTGGATTTGAACTGCTGACCTTGAGGTTCAAACCAACCTTGTGATCAAGTGCTTATCCTACAGGACTCCACAGCGCCACCTTAAGAAGTTGGAAATAGAAATACTAGATAATTCAACAGTCCCACTACTTGGTATATATCCTAGAGAAATCAGAGTAGTTACACAAATAGATATATGCACGTGGATGCTCATCACTGCACTATTCACAAACGCGAAATGATGGAAACAGCTTAAATACCCATCAATGGAAGACTGGCTGGATAAATGATGGATACAGCTCCGAACGAGGATGAACCTGGAGGACATGATGCTGAGTGAAATCACTCAGAACAAATTTGCAAAATCACTATTGTAAAAAGTCAAGAAAAGGCTTTCACACTGAAAGAAACATTCTTTGCCCAGTAGAAGGGATGGGGAGGCAGGGTGAATTGCTAACTAGTGAGTTGTTGTTGTTCAGTACCACTGGGTCCATTCCAATTCATAGAGACCTTGCTTAGGGCTTTCGAGGAGCAGCTGGTGGTTCTGAATGTCAACCTTACAGTGCTTATCTTACCAGAACTAGAGGGTAGAAGCATAGAAACTTGGGTAAAGGGGAAAGACAAAAAAAAAACAAAACACACACACACACACACACAAAACAGGATGAAATAAGCCAAAGTAAAAATTAACCTGAGGGGCAAGGAAGAGGCTGTTTGCTGACAAGAAAAAGCATGAGGAAAACTTAGTGTGTTGGAAATATCCTAAGCATTGATCTGGGTTAAGGTTTCATGTACATATATAAATGTAAAACTTCACTTAAAAAAAAAAAAAATGACGGCCTTGGAGTTGTCTGTGGTGATTCTACTCTGTTCTATAGGGGAGCTAGAGTGGGAATCATCTTCACAGAACATTCCAACCAAACAGCGGTATGACATCAGCGTGACCTGCAAGTATATGTATTATGTTTGTAGTGATTTAAAATTTAAACTAGGAATTTATTTTTAGGAAAATTCACCACATATGGAGATGGCTCTGTCACATTTGGCTCTAGGGTTACATGTTTCAGCGGCCACTGAACTGATTCCACCTCATGGAGTCCTGGGTGGAACTGTAGGATCTTCACTGGACTGTTAACCACAGTTTAGTGGTTCAAATCCTGGACAGGGTCGTTATGAGTCAGAACTGACTGGATGACACTGAACAACAACATGGTGACTCATGTGTTTCAGAGTAGAACTAATCTCCATAAAGTTTTTCCAGTGACTGAGTTTTTAAAAGTAGATCACCAGATCTTTCTTCTGAGGTACCGCTGGGTAGACTTGAACCCCCAACCTTTCCATACGCAGTCAAGTGTCTAACTGTTCCAGTGACTGTCAGATAGGATGGGTTCAGGAAATGCTCACTGAATGTGTATGGGAATGAACGAATGAACAAACAGATTGCTTCTGTTCTGCTGGAAAGTAAGGCTGGACTTCCAAGAATGGAGCATTGGTAATACATACAGTTAAAGTGTTTAATGAAAGTCAGTTGTCTTTATCTAGAATAATCCTTACCATCAACTTTCAAGGTGATCCGCTTGTAGTCGGCACCGCCATAGCTGATCAGACAGCAGTACACTCCCTCGTCCCGCAATTTCACGTCTGTGATCTGGAGCGCGGCCTTGCCCAGAGAGAGCTGGTCCTTCAGCAGCTGGGCCCTCTGGTTGTAGCTGCTGTGTTGAACCTTCAGGTCTTCCTCCCCACCCACCAGTTGAATAATTTTCTTATCCCCCATCTCCCAGTAGACAATGAGCACAGCCAGGTTCAATTCCTTTTCTACTGGGAATGTGCATTCCATCGTCACATTGCTGCCATACTCTACCACATGTAGGCTCTTGGACACACTGACAGTAAATGCTGAAAAAGGAAGCGAACCAATCTTCAGATGACAACCAGTCTGTCTAGCCGTTTACACAATAATTATGTTTAAGGACTTTACTTCCCTAAGAGATCTCTTTGAAGCAGTTTTGGGGAACTTTATATTTCATCCCTGAGTTACATCACAGTGTTATGTACCCCAGGTGTCATCCTATAACTCATAAATGTACATTACTCTTGTAGTATTAAACGGTGGTGGGTTATTTATAACCAAGCTGACTTTGCTTCTTATAGACATGTCAGAATTGGCCTTCTATCTAGTCTGAAAGTTGCTGTTGATGCTGTTAAATGCTGCTGAGTTGGTTCTGACTCATAGTGACCCTGTACAGAGTTTCTGAGATCAACTGGTGGTTTTGAAATGCCAACCTTGCAGTTAGCAGAATAGTGACTCCCAATCATCCTCTCCTCTTGTTTCTCTAAACTCTTGATCAGTTCTCTGGCCAGAGGACCTGAGTATGGAGATTTAGGGAGGGTCTCAGGCCAAAGACTGTATTGTGTGACACTAATTTCCTGGAACATTGAACTCCCCCCTTAGAATACACTCATTGGAAAAGGCAGATCACGGAACAACGCAGATAGAATGATCTTGCAAACAAATCAACAGTAGACCCAAATCAAACCACTGCCACCGAGCCAACTTATAGTAACCCTATAAAACTTTACAGCAGCAGCAAGCCTCATCTTTCTCCTGCAGCTGGTGGGTTTGAACTGCCAGTCTTACGGTTAGCAGTCCAGTGCTTATCCTAAAGTTCCACTAGTGCTCCTTAAACAGTATACATCTAGGCCATTTCCCCAAATATTTTCAACAGTTATCCCTGGGAAATGGATTATGGATTAATTTTCTTTCTTGATGTGGTCCTGTAGGATAAGCACTGAACTGCTAACCTTAAGGTTGGTGGTTCAAACCCACCAGAAGCTCCTCAGAAATCTACACAGGGTCTCTATAAGTCAGAACTGACTTGACTGCCCACATCAACATATTCCCTAGACTTCCTTTCAATGCACATGGATAACTTGTTTATGAAACTAAGCAGATAAAATAAAATGTTCTCTTTATAAAAGTATCACACCCATTTTGATGACTATTTTAGTTTTTACTCATGACTAAAATACTTAAAATATATAGAATCGAATGGTATCTTACCATTTAGTAAATGAGAGTAGGTCAGGAATGTCAAGACATTAAAAATCCTCATCTTTCTATAATGACCTGGGTATGAGAAAGAGACAGAGAAGATTGATTCACCCATCACTAAGGCAGCACGGGGCTTGGCAGCTCTCACTGAAATGACTTTCTGATGTCTGGATCATGACTGATTTATAAGTTTGGAAATACAGCAGCTCTTCATTTACTATTCCCAAGCAATATAAAGCCAAGTGGAAAAAAGAAATGTTACTAAGACAAGAAGAAAAGTTGAAGGTTTATTTACAAGACCTGGAAACAAACAAACCTTGCCAACGTACCCTTCAAAGATGCTGAAGTAATAGCGCACCAAAAGTTTTTCATTATTCCATGTTTTTGTTTTGCTTTCTGCATTGTGCCCATCAAGAAATTCAAGCATTTCAAAGTGAGGGGAATCTGACTTCTTCTCCCAAGGGTCAGTCCATGTTCCCCTAGTAGCCCCCTAATTTCCTCCTGCCCCCTTTGACTGGTCAGGCCCTTTACTTCACTGCCCCAGTCCATCAGTTATCCCCAAGGGCTCATCTTTCAAAGTCTCCTCTTCTGTTCCTCATTATTTCAAATCATAAATCTTATTCCGTCGAGAAACGGGGTTCCCTTCCCTCAGGAAGGCAGGTGGTGTGCTGTCCAGTCACTTCTGACTCATATGGACTCTATATAGGGTTTCTGAGGCTATAAATCTTTATGGGAGCAGAATGCCTCATCTTTCTCCTGTCAGGGAGTGATGTTGTTAAGTACCATCAAGTCGGTTCCGACTTGGTTTCTGGGGAGCTGCTGGTGGGTTTGAACCACCGACCCTGTGGTTCAAATTGACCTTGTTCAGCATTTTTCCTACAGTGCCACACCAGGTCAGGGAGAATAGGAAGGAGAAATAGTTAGAGTTAACCAATTCATACTAAGATGTGAGTGACTCACTGCTACTTTTCCAGAGATACCTGACTAGATTCCACTATTTTTTTCATCCTGCTTGACATTCTATGTTTATTTCATTCAGTAACCATTCATGGACCACCCTCCTGTGCCAGGCACTAAGTTAGCCATTGGGAAAATCCAAGTAGGAGAGATATGCTTTACTACATTCCAACCAACCTGTTAACTTAGCAACATATTTTCTACTCTTGTGCTATGCAAATATTTATAAACATGGAAAAGAAAGTCCAGTTTTCCCTTAGTTTGTCTCCGAATTCTGTATACTTATGAACACTCACTAATGATCGATGCTATCCATCTATCAGGCAGATGAGCAATGATGCCTTTAGCATATGAATAGCTCTTAAAATCAATAAGAAAACCCCACACAAGCCTACAGGAAAATAGAGATTTAGAAATACAAATGACACAAAAAATAGTAAAGGCTATTTTACTATTTACTTTTCACTAGTACAAAAAGCATAAATGTAAAACCTGCGACATCACTTTTTACTTATTAGCTTGATCAAAAGTATAAATATTCTTAATAGTGTTTCGTAGGATAAAAATGGGTGTTCTCACTCACTAATGTGGGGAGGTGAAGTTGAACAAGCAATTCGGTAATGTATTCGATTTTAAATGTCTATGACCTCGCAGATCTAATATAAACTCCCTCTCCTAGAAATTCATCCTCTGAAAGCATCCTCTTGGAAGGACTTGTAGGAAGGGCACAGCTGAGGACTGATTGTCCGGCTGGCCAGCTGCTGCGGGGGGCTTCTCTCTAGTCCTGGCTCCCTTCTCTCTAGTCCTGGACCATATTCATGAACAAGCAGGACAAACATGAAACTGCACTGAATCCTGCCTGGTAAAAACCAAATGTATTGCATGTTCTGATGAACCGCGCCCCGGACCACCATGCGTACTGTTCCTCACTCCCCGTTCCAAAGCAAGAGCCTCCATCCCTCCGTGTTGAAAGCGCCCAGCCAGCTGATACAGACCCGATCAACGGGCGGCACCAGGGAAGGATGCTCCTACCTGTAGACAGCCGGGAGACACAGGATGCTGCGGGGACCATGACCAGATGCTCTGGAAATACAATCACAGACCCGCCTGGAACACCCCGATCCTCTAATAGAGAAACCAAAAGTGATACTTACCCTGGGATTTTTTCCTGGAAAAGCCGGGCTGATCTAGAAAACGCTTACTCCAAGATTTAATGGATTAGGTGCTGACTGGCTCTGACCCATCTGAGGTTTACTCAGGAGCAGCTCGTGGGCTAGCAGTTCAGTGCGTATCTCACAGCATCAGACATCTTGTTGTGAAGTGCCTTCAAGTCGGTTCTGACTCATAGCGACCCTATATAGAGTTTCTGAGGAGCAGCTGGTGAATTTGAACCACTGACCTTAAGATTCAAACCGACCTTGCCGTCTAGCGCATTAACCCACAGCGCCACACCAGACTTATTGTTAAGTGCCGTCGAGTCGGTTCCAACCCATAGCAACCCTGTATAGGGTTTCCAGGGAGTGGCTGGTGAGTTTGAACTGCCGACTTTGCGTTTCAAAGGATTTTGCAGTCCAGCGCATTAATTTACAGAGCCACACCAGACCAGGAATCCTAAAAGTCCAGCTTGAAGTCCTGGTGTGCCGCTGTAGGGTAAACACTGGACTGCTTACTACAAAGTCGGCAGTTCAAACCCACCAGTCACTCCTTGTAAACACTTGGAATCCTCCATTCCGTGGCACTTACAACAGGAAAGACTTTCTTTGTGGGCTCCGGCGGAGATCCTCGTCTCTTCTCACTTTCTGTTCCTAGGTGAGTTTCATCTATTTGATGTCTTCACCCGGCTCTGCTTACTTAACCTGCTCTTTTACATTGCAAAAGAGATTGATTTAAAACCCAATTTACACAAATACTGCCTCATTAACCTAATAAAGAAAATCCTTTCCCAAATGGGATTATAATCCAAATTTAGTAGAATTTGCAATACGTATTTTTGAGCGGCACAGTTCAATCCATCAAACCCCCTATCTGTTAAAAATCTTCCTAATATGAGGAGTCCTGGTGTGGGGCTACCGGTTTATGGCTGTTTCCTATAGATAGGAAACCCTATCCAGGATCGCAATCAGTGGGACTCAACTTGATGGCACGTAACAGCAACATAACTAAGGAGTCCTGGTGTGGCACTACAGGATAAACACTGAACTGCAAGGTCATCCATTCAAATCCACTAGCCACTCTTAGAAACCCTACACAGCATTACTATGAGTTAGAACCAACTCCACGGCACTAAACAACAGCAAAAAACAATATGACTAAACTCATTGGGTGGATTGGTAGCATCAATAACATCTTTCCTCACTCTTCCTCTGCCCATCCCATTTCTTGCTGTTACCCATAAAACAAGAAATATGATAGCTGTTTATCCTGAAATGATGCTAGCAACTTTCTGGTGACGGAGATTCTAGGAAACTCTCCATGTATCATAACACCATTTGAAACAGAAATCATTAATGAGCTCCATCCCATGAGTAATTAATAATGTATAAAGATAATATATATAGAATGCAGATGGCACTGTAGTAGAAGCACTGGACTGCTAACCACAAGGTCAGCAGTTCCAAACCTTCCACCAGTTGCTCCTCAGGAGAAAGATGAGGCGTTCCGCTCCCATGAAGATTTATAGCCTCAGAAACCCTATACAGGGTCACTATGAGTTGAAATCAACTTTATGACACCTAACAACAACAAAGAAAATATCCAGATTTATCCCATGTTTGATTTTTTTAGGATGTCGGGTTGTTGGGTGCTATAGAGTCAGTTCTGGCTCATAGCGACCCTACGTACAACAGAATGAAACACTGCCCGGTCCTGTGCCATCCTCACAATTGCTGTTACATTTGAGAACATTGTTGCTCCACTGTGTCAGTCCATCTCATTGGGATTCTTCCTCTTTTTCACTTTTCTGAGTATGATGTCCTTATCCAGGGCCTCCTGACCACATGCCCAAAGTACAAAAGACGAAGTACTGGCTTCTTCAGGGCATTCTGTTGTACTTCTTCCAAGACAGATTTGTTTATTTCTCTGGTAACGTATGGTATTTCCAATATTCTTCTCTAAAACCATAACTCAAAAGCACCAATTCTTCTTTGGTCTTCCTTACTCACTGTGCAACTTTCACATGCATATGAGGCCACTGGAAATACCATGGCATGGATCAGGTGCACCTTAGTCCTCAAAGTGACATCTTTGCTCTTTAACACTTTAATCTTCTCACCTATGTAGTCTCAGGAACTGAGGAATGCAGATTGGCAGGTCAGATGGCAGGCTGTTGATGCATGAGGCTACAGGAACTGGTGAATCAGGTCAAGAGATGGACTGAAAATCCCAGAACTGGAGGTCAGATATCATGAGCCAAATGTAAGATGCAGGGCAAGAGACAGCGAGCTTTTCCAAAGCAGTTTTATAAATTGGAGTAAGAAGATGCCCCCAAGTTGTACAACTATCACCATTATCCATTTCCCATTTTTTCCTTCATCCTCACAGAAAGAAGTTCAATGTCTCCCAAACCATGAATTGCCCTTACCACTCTCCCTCCCACCTACTGCTGGTAACCGCTGATAACCTTAGATATGTTGTTGTTGTTGTTAGGTGCCATCGAGTCAGTACCGACCCATAGCGGCCTTATGCACAGCAGAACAAAACATTGCCCGAACCTAGGCCAACCTCACTACTGTTGCCACACTTGAGTCCATCGATGTTGCCACTTGGCTAATCCATCTTGTTGGGAGTTTTCCTCTTCTTCTCTGACCCTTCACCTTACCAAACATGATATCCTTCTCCAGCGACTAGTCTCTCCTGACAATACTTCCAAAGTATGAGAGACGAACTTTGGCCATCTGACCTCCAAGGAGCACTCTGGCTGCACTTCTCCCAAAACAGATCTATTGGTTCTTTTGGCAGCCCAAGGTACTTTCAATATTCTCCTCCAACACCATAACTCCAAAGCATCAATTCTTTTACAGTCTTCCTTATTCACTGTCCAGCTTTTGCATGCATATGAGGTTATTGAAAACACCATGCTGACATCTTTGCTCTTCAACAGTTTAA